TTATAAATTACATTATATACAATAAGATTGAAACTCAAAATGGGACACCTGCCCCTCCCCCTGTATCTGGGTGTGTGTGTCACGTGGTGCATTATTTCCAGAAACACACATGCTCACAGTAGTACAGTGTGGTGGGAAGGATATTGAGTCAGGAGGCTGGAGCTCTCAGTTTTCGTTTTGACTCTTTTTGCTAAGCAACATTAAAATTTGGGGACAGATAACTTAGATTCTGAGCCTTATTTTGGCTATAAAAGTACTCTAAAAGTGACCTTAAAAACATAAGAGCACAAACAAAAACACCCTGTCAGCTCACCCTCTCTATAAGCTGAGTAAACTGTACTATCTCCACCCTAGGGAGAGAAATAAACAAAATCAAAAGACTTACCTACCGGTTCCTCAGCACATGGTCCTAGTTAAGTGTATGCACTTCATCACAGTGCACCTGGATTGTATCCCATTCTCCTAAAAATGCATAGAAGTGGGGTCTTAACTGGATTTTCTCTTCATGATATAGAAGCTGTTGCATGTATAGCCAATCACATTACTGCTCATTGCTGAAAGGAATGAACTTCAATGAAGAGGTTTCAAAATTCACTCATGATCATTTATGGAGTGTCTACTGTGTGCCAGGCACACTATTAAGTGTGGGAGAATCAGAGAAGTACTGCTCTCAAATATACCACAGTCCAGTGGTGGAACATGGAAACTGATAGCTTAGAAGATACTACGGAAGTGTCTTGCTAATGGTATAAATCAAGAGTCGTGCCAGAAATCCAGGAGCAATAAATAAGACCTCTCCTGGGAGGCTCTGAGAAGATGGCGATGGAGGTGATGTTTGAGCTGAGACTTGAAAGGTGAGTGGAAATTTGCCAGGTGAAGAAGAGGAAGGGCATTTACAAGCAGAGGGAATAGCATGGCTCACGAGGGTGCCTGGCACGGATGGTGAAGAGGGGTGGATAGCTGCAGCCCAGGTTTTTTGGTAAGGAAGGTAGATGGGAGGACAGTTAGGTTGGGGCTAGGGTGTTGGGAACCTTGTTATGTGACACTCAATGGGTAATACCCCCTGCAGGTAATGGGGGGTGCAGAGGTGTAATGCATGATGCACTGTGTCATGCTTTTAAAGCATCTGGAGGTCACATGGAGGGAGTGTGTGTACCTTGGGAGTAGAGTAAGGAGAAACAGGTTAGGGAAACTAAACAGGAAGTGACAGTGGGAAGGGTTAACTTTGAGAAGCATTTTTGAAAAGGAATAAATAATAGTTGGTAAACACTGGATGTGGAGGCAGAGGGAGAGAGAGAAGTAGAATATGACTTTGAAGTTGCTCAGTATAAGGGAGTCTGGGTGGTTGGTGGTACTATTAACAGAGGAGCGAGAACCCAGGAACAGGGTGGGTGCTCTACTCCAGTGTGCCTCCAGCTGAAGAGGGACAATTAACTTTGGCCCAGGTGATAGGTAGTCGTACAAGAAAACAAGATGTCAGCAGCTGAGAAAGTGGAGGAAGCCTTCCCCAGAATGAGACCACTGATCTCCTAATTTCCATGCTTTTGGCTCAGGGTATCATTCAATTCAACAAAATTTAAAAGCTGTTATCTAGAATATGTCTGATCTATTGCATTTTTTTTTTTAGCTATACTGTGCATTGCTCCAGTTATAAAAATGTAAAGAATGGAAACTCTGGAGCCAGATTATCTGGGCAAATGATTTCAAGCAAGTCCCTTAAACCTCTCTGTGCCTCACTTTGCTCATTTGCGAAATAAGTATAAAAATTCATGAGGTTGTTGTAGGAATGAGTTTGCATATGTAAAAGTGTGCCTGGCACATAGCGTAAGGACCTTTACTATCATTATTAATAAGTAATGGAAGGACCGGCTGAGTGGCGCGTTGGTTAAGAGTTGGCTTGGAACGCTAGCTCTGAGCAGCAGGGCCCCAGTTCGGATCCCACATGAGGGCTAGGGCCGCTGTGCCCTCTACAGCTAAGATGGTGAACAACAGCTCGACCTGGAGCTGGGCTGCCATGAGTCGCCAGCGATGGCGTAGGCTGCAGCCCCTGCTGCAGTGGGCTGCCGTGAGCTACATGAGCGACTGGCAGCTTGTGTGAGTGGCTGGCCGCCGGTGTGAGCTGCCAAGAGCTGTCATGAGCAGCCATCCAGTGGCTGGCAACCGATCTGCCTCACCCGGGAAGAGTGCAATGATAATACCAACATGGGCCAGTGAAGCGATGTCCTCCACAACTAGACTGAAGAACAAAAGGACAGCAACTTGGCTGTTCCCCTTCTCCGATTCCCCAGCACTTTTCCCCTCCCCCAATTCCCCAATAAAATCTTTTAAAAAGTAACAGAATACGTGACTAAAAGTGGTACAAAATGGAGATTTATCATCGCAGAACAGATTAGAAGTGGGCAGTTCCACGGTTGGTGATGCTGCTTAACCAAGTCATCGAGGACCAGAATCTTCCCACATCCCGCCTTGCCAGACTTAGCTTGTTAGTGATTTCTCCCCTCGTGGTGGTAGAAAGGCTGCAGTAGCTCCAATATCAAGTCCTTACATGACCAGCATTCCAAGCAAGAAATAATGGGTTGGGGCAAAAAGGGCTTTCTTCCTTGTGTAGCCCTCACTCATCAAGAATCTCTCCTAGAAGCCCCCAGGTTTCCTTTCAGATCGAAATGGGTCACAGGCCCATCCCTAACTGCAAGAGGGGCTGGGAAAGAATCTGACTCTTCTAACCTATAACAAATGAGGCAAAACTGGAGCTGGGGCTGTTACATGGCTAACCTGTAGTGCCCACCACAATCTAGGACTAAAGAGTTTCAAGGATGCCTCGCTCAGGCCAGGGGTAATTGAGAAACAAGAATGTAGCAGTATTATTCATCCAGAGGGTATGAGCCCTAGGCTCAATTCTTCAGGGGTCATTAGCTTTTTTAAGAATAGCTTTTTAACCCATGTGAGTATCTTGGTGAAATATGGAGAGAAGATATTTTTGAGGAGGGGGGACCACAATAATCTTCTCACTTGTTCTGATTGTCACCTTCCCTCCCCACAAACCAAAGGAGGGGGCCCATAATTCAGAGCACCTTGTCTAAAAGGTTGGCTAGTCATTGTTCAAGTTATTTAAACAAAAGCAAATGCAGGCTTCTTCCCTCTCTGAATGCCGCTCGCAGCAGTCTCACCCCCCGTGATGGGTAATAAGCAAAGAGGGCAGTGTAAGAAGAGCTACTCTTCTCCTTAGAAGCAGGTCTTAAATCCAGTAGTTACCTACATTCTACATCCATCCCCACAGTCACTGCCTGATTTGGGGCCCATACCATCTCTCATCGGGACTACTGCTATGGCCTCTGGTCTGGGCTCCCCATCAAGTTTCTCCATCACAGAAAGTCTGCATGCAGCAAGGTGGACGAAGGGAGCTACAAGAGAACCAGGGGAAAGCTTTTATAAACATCCACAGAAAGCCTTCTTTCCGCGAACCAATTTTTTTAACAAAGAGGAGAGAAATTTTAAAACTCTGAGGAACCTAGTTCCTAATTTGATTCTAGCCTACATGTGGCTAGTCAATAAATACTTGTTAAATTAAATTGATTCAAGGTTTTATTTATTCAACCTACTTAAAGCTTATGTAAACCCCATGGAGATTTGTCAAGCTGTTAGGTTGGAAAAATATATGAAAAGTAATGTTTTCAATAGACCAGCTTTCCTCTTAATGAACTTTATGAGCTTATTATAAACCAAATGGAGTAGGGAGAGGTTCCAGAAGAGGGGACAGGGAAAGGGGAGATAAGAAGCACAGAGAAGAAAAGCATGTTTCTATCATTGCCTACATGTGTCTTCCTTGTTGTACTTACTAACCAGCTACTGCCCTCTAGCGCTCACTGCATAACATGCTCACCTGAATTCCATTTTATCACCAGGAAGGGACCACGTCTCATTTTGCAGATAAGCAGCTTAAGTCCGGAGAGATGAGGTGTCAGACTGACCCAGGTGGCCTCCTGGATTCTCGGTTACCTACTAAAACTTGCCTGGCAAATTCCGAATATTAAAAGCATTTCTCAGACATTTCAATAACTAATCAATAAGCTACAGCACACTAATAATAATTTTAAGTGCTATCTATTATTACCAATGGTATTTTTTTTAAACGATCTTATTGGGGAATTGGGGGAGAGGAACAGTGTTGGGGAATTGGCGAAGGAGAAAAGGCAAGTTGCTGTCTTCTTGTTCTTCAGTCTAGTTGTGGAGGACGTCATTTCACTGGCCCATGTTGGTATTATCATTGTGCTTTCCCCGGATGAGTCAGTTGCTCGCCGGCCATTGGATGGCTGCTCACAGGGGCTCACAGCAGCTCACGAAAACTCACGTCAGCTGCCAGGCAGCCCCACTGCAGCCTACACCATCACCAGTGCCTCACGGCGGCCCAGCTCCAGGTTGAGCTGTTGTTCACCATCTTAGCTATAGAGGGCGTGGCCTCACTGACCCTCATGTGGGATCCAAACAGGTGCCCTGCTGCTCAGAGCTGGTGTCCCAAGTCAACTCTTAACCAACGTGCCACTCGGCTGGCCCCAATGTTATTTTAAATAAAGCCAAAAATGACTGTTGGTCAAGTTTAGATAAGGATTTATAAATATTGCTACATTTTAACTTAGTAAAGTTTAGAAAATGCCTACATTATTTTTTTAAGTTAATGAGAACAAATCCAAAGTAGATTTGGCCATGTATCAAAACTGACTTGTCACTGTGTCCATGTAGGCTACTACTCTGCTAGAATTCTCCCAAAAGAACCTCTTTGCTCATTGATGGGAAGGGGAAGGGGGTTGTCATTTTAACTTAGGACACATATTTTCATCATTTAATCATTTTGCTGGTGGGAATAAATGAAAAGTTATCCAGCTAGACATATGACTTACGAGAACATTACTGAGTAACAAAAGGTTTATTCAAATATTTAATTGGAAGGAAATACATCTGGAATAAGTTTTATTATAATTCACATAAAAAGGAAAGTAAATCCATTAGAATTAATACCATAAATAGTTGACTTTATTTGGAACTAGAAATATTAACAAATTGGAGCCTAGAAGTCCTAACCATTTTTTTTCTTTTTTTGCAAAAAGCCAGTCATTTTCCAATTTATATCCAATTACACTTTATTACTTCAGGTAGAGCTTCGTTTTCAGCTAATATTTTAGAGACAGATCACTCAAATTACCTAATTTGTTTCCTTGCCTCCCTTCTCTTTACAACAAAAGCAAAAAGAAAGTAGTAAGGGGCATTTGCCTCTCTTCAAAGTAATTCAAAAATCCTAAGACCAGCAAATCAGCTGACACTCACTACGTTTGGCTACTAGTAACTACATGAATTAAGAGACATCTAGTGTCGTCCTTAGATGTCCACATAGATCCCATTGATCAAATAATCAAGTCTCGAGTAACGTTTCCTGCGGAGGGATTCCAAGAGCATCCTACCCGAGAGGACAAGCCCTATCGCAAGAAACAGAACACCGAAGAGAAGGGTCCCCATGAGGAGCCACTTTTCAAATGGAAGGCTGTGCTGACTTTCTGGAAGCTTGTGCTGGGAGGCGCCACCTGAACTGGTCTTCCCGTTTTCCTGGGAAGCAGTTTTATTCATAGCAGAAGAGTCCACATTTAGCCAAAGAGCTGTAGCAGGGTTATGGGCATCTTCTGTGTTCAAAGTTAGGTTGAAATTTTCTCTCAAGTGCACCGTTTCTGGTGGGCCGTTCGGGTCTGTAGATGTCTGAAAGATGGTAGTTGGAACTGCTGTTGTCATGCTAGCTTGGGGTGTCACCACCGCATGTGTCAAAATTGTAGAAATGACTGTGGGAGGCTGAGAAGGGACTGTCGCCGGCCGAGCTGTGGTGGCCACCTGTGGTTGAGAAGTCGCAGAAGGTATGGCTGGAGCGTTGGTGGGGAGGAGTGGCTCTGGAGTGGCAGAGGTGGGACGCAGAGAAGTGACAGTCAATGTCGTGGGGAATGTGGTCTCATTTTCAAGCAGCAGATGAGCTATGTTTTGTTCTGAGGAAAACTGCAAACCCTGAGAATGGCCTTTTTCTTGGTAAACAGGCAACCGTGTACTCTCTGGATCCATCTTGAATAGTTTCTCCAAGTGATCCGAGGAGCTAAACTTCAGAGAAAGTGTATCTGTCCCTGAGATATCAGGGGGCTTTGAATACCCTGTCAGACGACGGGGTGTGGGAGCGACTGTTTGTGAAGACTGGCCGTGGAAGAGAGGATCTTCTTTGGCTAACTCTTGGGTTGGCCAATCAGGTTTGGCCAGCGATGGAAAATCTGAAAATGTAAAGAAAAGAAATGGGATACTTAAACATAGAAGGTACGTTAAGAAAAGACAAACATATCGGCTTGGTCAGTAAGTCCCCACACTGTTGATACTTGACATTTCATGGAAACATTTACAAAAAGGAAAAATACAAATTACTAAATCTGAACCTGATGGCTCTGCCTCTCCACCAGATGCTGTGGTTTATTTCTAGAGTGATGGGGCAGAGGAGAAGAGAAATGTGTGGAGGAGGACCAGGCAAAATAAGGAAGAGGTGAGAGGAGCAGAGGCACTAAAGGAGCTCAGATGGGCAGTAAGGGGGTTAGGAAGACACACTTAAGGGGCCAAGGCCAGGGGGATGCGGCAGGATCAGGACAGGGAGAGGGGATACCGGGTGAGGCCTGAGCTCCTGCAGGCTGTGCCATCTGGGTGGGATGTGATAACAACTGGGCAGCAAGCAATCCCTAGGACAGATTAACGGGGGCAGGAGGCAGGTGAGAGGGTATATGAGGAGGCCACAGGACAATGAGGAGAGGATTGGCTTTAACAAGGAGGACAGAGGAGGAGGCCAGAAGGGTCTGGTCTCCTCCAAAGTCACTGAGGCCAAGCAGCAGAAGGCTGATGACATTTTTCAATTAAAAAAAAAAAAAGTTGTTTCAGCACCACAGTCGGGGGAGGGAGGCAACCTGGGAGCTTTAATTTTGACTCTCAAAGATTCACGTTTTAGAGACAATGTTTTAGGTTCTAAAGACGATGGGACCGATATTTGAAATCATGATGGCCACACTGCTGACATAAAGAGCAGAAAACCCCACAGTCCTGATTCCTGCTGAGGAGGAACCAGCCTCCTATCCTCCCCGAGCATGACAATGTTTAGAATTTTGCTCTGAGTCACACACACACCACTTATCGCAGCTCAAACTGCCAAGGTTTGTTAAAGCAATCAGGGGCGGGGAAAGATCGCTGGAACTACTGTGCTATTTTACTAATCATTTCACTTAGGTGAGAACTACAGAAAATACAAGCGAAGAAGCAAAAGCATTCCCTGGCATTTACCGGTTCACTCTCCTCTGTTTTCTTTCCCCTTGTCTTCTTCAACTCCCCTCAATCTCATCCTCCTCTCTCCTAACAAACAGATCCAGAGGCAGCTTCAGATTTGTACTATCCTTGACTGCTCTCTAAGCTTCACACCTCTAAGAGGTCCTGTAGCACTGTCACTTATTAATCCATCTAGGACAGGTGCCCGCGAACTAAGGTCTGAGGGCCGAATTTGGCCTGCCACCTACCTTTGTATGGCTTTTGTGATAAGAACGGTTTCTACATTTCTAAGTGGTTAAGACGAATAAAAAAGTACATTTTGTGACACATGAAAATCACATGAAATTCAGATTTCAGTGTCCATAAAACTTTACTGGCACACAAACATGCTCATCACTGCTTTCGGACTACAAGGACAGAGGTAAAAGTACAACAGATGGGGGCGGCCGGTTAGCTCAGGTGGTTAGAGTGCAGGTTCATAACACCAAGGTTGCTGGTTCGATTCCCACATGGGCCACTGAGCTGCGCCCTCCACAACTAGATTAAAACAACTACTTGACTTGGAGCTCATGGGTCCTGGAAAAACACACTGTTCCCCAATAAAAAAAAATTTTAAAACAAAAAGTACAACAGATGGTGTATGACCCACAAAACCCAAAGATACTAACCTGAAAAGTCTAAAATACTTATTATTCAGCCCTTGACTGAAAAAGTTTGCGGATGCCTGCTCAAGGGTGTAGTGCTGTACTCTAAAACAGAATTTAGATGTCTGGACCTCCTCTTCCCTCCAACAATGCTGAAGAGTTTCTGCTACAAGTGATATCACATTCATAGACACAGCATCCCCATGAGATAAACTGCATCTTTATTTTTAGGTAACAGCAGGTATTTTTTTAAAAAAAGAGCAGGACTCAACATATTTCATTTTAAAGTTAAAAAAAAAGACAATTTAAGTAAATGCTCTGTGATGTGTGTGAACTCAGAACTTAAAAAAGGCCATCGACAAGAATGACCAAAACAGCTGTTTTCTTTCTCAAGAATGCAAGCTCATAAATAAAGCAAAGAAAGGGTTAGTCCCATTTCCTGATAAGATTCATCCATTGGCAAAGATCCTAGAACCACGCAGGGATCCTGCACACCTGCTCCATTGACCTCACCCACTGATGTTTGCCATCGGGGCGTGGTGCTTTCTCTCAGTCACGCAGACATGAGGCACAGAGGGAGCTGGGAAACAGCCCTGTGCCCTCAGCCCTTCTGCTGAGTTTCATTGCAAATGACTTCACTGTGTAAAAAATTTAGGGACTGACTATTACTTGGAAACCAGCTGAGCAAGCAGACTCCCAATTTATTCTACTTCAGAATTCCCCTATTGTAGTCCTTGGTAGACATGATATCCCACAAGCTGAAAAAAAAATTTTTTTAAATAATTCCAAGCAGCAATGGTTTTATAGAATGAACAGAGTACACTGTCATCCTTCAATATGTCAAACTTTCAGCCTATACATATTAGTCAATCAGTTATAGGAAACACAAAGTTCATCCGGAAACACACCACCAAACATACCTATTTAATTTCACTCCAAACAGGAGGCAGATAATTTACTTTTATGGGGTAATCTCAATCCATCAACCTGGGCAGATTCATACACAGAATTATACACACAACTTGTAAACATCCCATAGATATAAACAGTCCACTGCACACTATGTCCAGGGTTGGTGCCACTTTGCACTTAGCTATCCATCAACCAGCTTTAGGCTGATGACACCCCCTGGTGGCTGCCAGAGGAACGGTTTGATTCTCATTTCACTTCATTACCTACCTATACACTAGCCCTTAAAAGGTTTATGCCCGTGCCAAGTCTTTTCTCTCATTTCCACTGAAAAGAATCTTCATTGCAAAAACTCTCTTTTTTATAACTGCATTATAAAAGCAACAATATTACAGAAGTATTAAGAAAATTATAAAACAAATTCAACGATAATTTCTATCATCACGTCCCAGCAACTATTCACATGTCTGTATACCTGAAAGTTTAAAATATTTTTTTCATATAATTGAAAAACAACGGGGTGCTTTTTACCAGAAATTTAGGTGAGTTCGTTGAGTTCTACACCTCAAACTTATTTTTTAGTATCTGCATCGTAGCCCCTCAAGTGGCTCCATCATATTTTACACCCAACCATGCCCTGGCAATTGGATATTTACGAGCATGCTACATCTCGTTTTTCGCTTTTTAAATTAATTAAACAATAAACAGCTTCAGGCCAATAGGTTTTTATTTGTTTGGGTGTTGTTTCTTCAATGTAGATTTTATGGAAGAATTACTCTATTAAAATCATCCATAATTTCTTTAATAGTATGCTTTATGTGAAATAGATGACAGACATAGAGAATAGACAATGATAGTGGAAGGAAGGACAGAATGAAGAAAGCACAGGTAGTTTGAAGGGATAACAGAAGTGGAATGTGATGGTTCAACTTCCACATGATGGGCGCTCCTGAACAAGAAGAACAAAGGTCCCGTTCGGGGTCTTGAATCCTGACCTCTTTGGAAACTCAGACTGGCATGTGCAGTTCCTGCCAGACACCACCCTCAGGGATCTAACGGGCTCTGCAATATTCTAGGTGATCAAAGAGGAACAGCAAAAGGCTATATCCACAGCACAATGCAGGTCCCCAGTGTTTTTAGCCAAGATTATACACATACAGGCAGAAGAAGTGAAGGAGGCACACAGATCCGGGGCAGCCACCTTGGCCACTAAAGCCTCAAAAGGGTTTTATTTTTAGGTAAGATCGGTTATTTTTTTTTAAAAAGAGCAGGACTCAACATATTTCATTTTAAAGTAAAAACAAGGCAATTTAAGTAAATGTTGTCCATGCATGGTAAGGTCTTGAGTGTTTTGAGAAGCCTAATTTGTTCTCTGGCATAGTCTTTTAAAATGTGTGGTAAAATATATATACAATTTATCGCTTTAAGTGTACAGCTCAGTGGCACTGAGTATATTCACACTGTTGTGCAACCATCACCACCATCCAACTCCAGAACTTTTTTCATCTTGCAAAACTGAAACTTTGTACCTTATGTGCCAGTCTTTTTATACTGAGGCTCACGTCACTATTTAGAAAGAATTTACACAAATAACCTGTTTAAGGGAATGTTTGATACATCAGGTTTTCCTGGTTGATGAACAAAACTCAGACTCACCCAGGGGACAAAGCGGAGTCAGTGCCCAGGTGCCCTGAGCAGTATCATTCCCCAAAGTACTTCACATGTGGCATAACCCCGCTAAGAGAGAGCTCTTAACTGCTTTCCCCCTCCCAATCCTAAAGCCACTTCTCCTCAAATCTTCCTGAGCTCAGCAGTTGGTGCCACCATCCATCTATTGGGTCGTCGGAAAAGTCATGACACATTTTTGCAACGAAAAACAGAGAAAAAATACGTCATGACTTTTCCGACAACCCAATAGATGCTCAAGCCAAAAACTAGGACTTTGCTTCAATGCTTCTCTTTCCTTGTCCCTGACATTCATGCCAGCAGCACTTCCTATCAGCTCTACCTCAGAAACAACCCATATGTTTCCTTCTCTCCATCTCCTCTCCCACCCCCCTGGTCCACCATGCCAGGGCCTTTCACGTGGATCTCACCCCACCTCCCCTCTTGCTGCTGTGTCACTGCCCATTCCCAACAGAGCAGTCACAGGGAGCTTTGAGAAATCACCTTTAAAACACTACGTTACATGCCTGCTTAAAACTTCCAGCAGCTCCCCATTACACACCAAAAATAAAAAGGTCCTACCCTACCTACCCGGCTTACAAAGCTTTATGTATCTCCCCATCCTTCTTACTTCTGGCACATCACTCTTTCTGTACGTCGTTCCCTGTAAGTCAGCCAGCTGGGACTGGAGTGTTTTCCAAAATCATTCTGCCTTCAGAGAGTGGAACAGGCTATTTCCTCTGCCTGGAAGGTCTTCTCACAATCTTCTCACCTCTGGCTCTTGACTGCTCAGATCTCAGGTTAGGAGTTACTTCACAGATGCTTCCTCTGATCACCTCATCTACAGGGTCCTCTCAGGGACTATCTATTATATTGCCTTAGCTCAATTACCTGCATAGCACTTGTGACTGTGTTTTTCTTGATTATTGATTTATTACGGTTATTGTCTGTCTCTCTCCTAAAACATATGTTTCAGAAGTGAGAACCTTGTTTTTCATGTTTAGTGTAGTATCCTTGTATTCCCAGGGTGTAAAGAGCGCTTGGCACATAGGAGATGCTAAATAATATTTGTTGTTTATTGAATAAATGACCAAAACAATCATATTAATAATCAAGGGTATAATGACTAAAACTTTCTAAAACTTAATTAAAAGGAAATTTGACACTGAAAGCATTTCATCCTGAAAAATTAACAAGTCAAAATCTCACCAAAATATAGCCAAATAATTATATTAATTTTTTAGTTGTTTATTTTCTATATTCTGAACAAATATATAAGTTCCATGAGCATGAAAATTGTATTTCCAATGCCTTGAACAGAATTTAGCACATGGCAGATGCTCAATTAATATTGTTTAATAAACTTCTCTCCAGGTCAAGACAATAAAATCCACTGAGTTTAGATTTCAGATAAAGTGATTGTACAATAATTCTAACCTAATGAGAAACATCCTAGAATTTTGTATATTCACATAGTCTTAACCCTTTCAAAAGAGAAGACATGTAAACTTATTCCAGTGTTGCTGACATTGTTCTAAAGAGGTATTTCAAAATGTTTTCATGAAAGATCTGTGTACCTTTTATATTATGAAGGTAAAAACAAAATAAAATACTATCATTCGGAGGTCTTCCATTGGAAAAATGGTATTTGGTTTAATAAGTTTAATTTTAAATCGTGAGATTTAAATCGTGAGCAGTTCTAGACTCTTTCGTAGAAGATCTTTCACATGAACCATATCCTTAAATAATTGCAATCACAAAAGAAAAAGAACAATGCTCTTATTACCTCTAATTATCCTGTAAGTCATAAGTCCCTTTGCTGGTTTTAGTGGACAGGCTTCCTCACTGGGACAGAAAAACAGGTAGCAGTTGGGTTGTCTAGTTGTTTTTCGAGTGTCGAAGATCATCAGGTTACATGCTTTGTCCCCTGCAACGAAAGATTTCATAAGCATTATTTTGAAATGGGATTTTCTAAGAGTATGGTAAGCAGGAAGAACTTCATTTATTCTGGAGTCCAACACAGACACTTTTGGTCACTTTGTTCACTTGTTTGCTGACTGCTGAATCATTTCCTTTTCCTTAGTCTAGTCACCTGAAGCAATGTTTAAAGACATACTGGACTTAAAAATCTGAATTAAGGTATTTTTGGCAAAACCAATTTTTAATAGTACACTTAATTCTTTAGAAATAAACCTTCCATTTGCTAAAATATCCACCAAAATATACATAGAAATACTGACTTTACAATCTTTCCACAACTCACTGTTGAGTTGGGCCTTAAGAAATGGATCTGACTGTAACTGCAAGTATCTCTTGCATCCTGAAGGCATCTCAGAAACCTGTGAAGCCATGAGCCTGGCTTTCTTGAGTGGGGTCAGTAATTTCAGCATCATACAAATATGCCTCCTTGCACAAAGACTCTCAGTAATATATGAAATGCAAAGTCTACTTTTTATTTTTATCAGTATCATTCTTCTTTTGTTTCTTTCTGCACATTTCCCCTCTTCCTTATCATTTTTGTTTTATTTTCCTTCCTTCTTCACTTTTCACTCTTAACTTTCATTTCTGCCTTCTCTTTCTCTTCCTCTTATGTCCAATAGAAGTTATTCTCTCTAAGCTTCATGGCCTAGAGTTGGCTTTGGCTTCAACCTGGTACAGTCTCACATCTTGGCTTGTGACCCTTGAGGGATCACAATACCCTGGGTCAAGTTGAAGGTTAAGAGACATATAAGCTAATTATTAAAAACGCATGTTCTGACAACATGAATGGAACTTAAGAATATTATGCTAAGTGAAATATGTCAGACAGAAAAGGACAAGAACCATATGATATCACTCATATGGGGTATATAAAACAAAAAGCAACAAATGAACAAACAGAACAAATAAACAACCCCCCAAGAAACACACTTATAGATACACACAATAGAATGGTGGTTACCAGAGGGGGAGAGGCTGGGGGGAGAACAAAGAGGGTCAAATATATGGTGACAGAGGAGATCAGACTAGGGTGATAAGCACACAATACAGTATACAGCTGTTGTGTTATACACATGAATGTTGTATAACACGATATCTGTATAATCTACTATGTTGCATACCTGAAATTTATATAATGTTATCAACCAATGTTACCCCAATAAATTTTTTTTAAAACCCTGCAAGTACTTTCTCACCACAGACACACACACAAAAGGTAACTTGTGTTAAATAACTTTATTGTGGTAATCATTTTGCAATATATACCTGTTTCAAATCTTTATGTTTTATATCTTAAATTTATACAATGTTATGTGCCAAACATATCTCAATAAAGCTGGGGAAGAAAAACCACATGGTCTGCCAATTATCACTGCCACTTCTTCAAATCAGATGATGGTTAGGAATCAACCTTGATAGGACTTAGTTAGCTTCTGCAGGAGTTTTATCATGTCATCTCTCCATTAACCAGGTAACAAAAAAGATACTACTCTAGCTTTTCCTTTCTCTGCACTGTGACAATTTTGCAATCCCATTGGTGGGGGGAGGGGGGGTACTTAGGTAAAGGCAAGGGTCCATAGTCCCCCAAGTTATATGCAAAATTTGGTGTCCTTTGTATTTATGATGTTTTTTTTAGAGTCCATGGTTATATGCAACTTAAATTATCAAAGTGCTTTTTGAACTATAAACAGTTAAAAACCGTTGCTCAATTAATGAGGACAAAGTGTGAGATCTATTAACTGAGACCCATAATTACCTCTGCTTACAGTAAAGCAGTAACAGTATTTTTACTTGCAGAATAAAGCAGCAAACCCTCATTTCTTACTAAATGCCCATCATGGAACTGAACTGAAATGCAAGGTTTCCTATGTTGCCAGGAAATACACACAGCATTCAGTCTTGTTTTCTGGTGAAGTTTCTATTTCACATAAATATTGATATCTACATTTAAAGAAAAACTAAAAATTTAAATGAAATCTCTGTAACTTCCATAAATCACTTCAAAAAGAGTGGCAAGGACTGGCCGATTATTGCGTTGGTTAACAGCTGGCTTGGGACGCCAGCTCTGAGCAGCAGGGCCCCAGTTCAGATCCCACATGCGGGCCAGTGACACTGCCCTCTACAGCTAAGATGGTGAACAACAGCTCGACTTGGAGCTGGGCTGCTGAGAGTCACCGGTGACGGCATAGGCTGCAGCCCCTGCTGCAGTGGGCTGCCATAAGCTACCGTGTGTGGCTGGCAGCAAGTGTGAGTGGCCAGCAGTTGGTGTGAGCTGCCAATAGCCACTGTGAGTGGCCGGCTGGCCGGCGACCAATCTGCCTCAGCCGAGAAGAGCGCAATGATAATACCAACATGGGCCAGTGAAGCAACGTCCTCCACAACTAGACTGAAGAACAAAAGGACAGCGACTTATCTGTTCCCTTTCTCCTGATTTCCCAGCACTGTTCCCCTCCCCCAATTCCCCAATAAAATCGTAAAAAAAAAAAAAAAGTGGCTAAAAGCATGCTGATTTTGAGACCACTGAAGGGTTTTTTTCCTCCTGAGGACAAATATGTGGTGTCTTTTCCACACTAACTCTCCAATTCTCTGATTCTCCAACACCAACTGGGTGTCCTACAATCCAATTCTGACGTTAACTACCTGAAGTTAGAGGCAGGTTTAAGGGCTTAGACCATTAACACTGCCCTCACATTAGATGCCAGTCACAAGTACCAGGTCCCCAGGTTACTCACACTTCTGCCAACTTGGCTACAAATTCAGGGTCCCACAACCCCCCATGCCCAGTTCAATAACTGCTAGAACTACTCACAGGACTCAGGAAAATGCTATACTCACTAATATAGTTTATTATAAGGGCTATAAATGAACATCCAGATAAAGATATACATAGGATGAGGCCCAAAAGGCATCCTGAGTGCAGGAGCCTGTGTCCCTATGGTGCTGGGGTGAGCCACCTTCTGGCACCTGGATGTGTTCACCAACTTGGAAGCTCCCAGAACCCAGTTTTGGGAGTTTTTATGGAGGTTTCAACAGACATAATTGACCAAATCATTGGCCACTGGGGACAGAATTCAATTTCCAGCCCCTCTTCCCTACCCAGAGGTAGAGGATGGCATAGGGCTGAAAATTCCAACCTAACTAAGACTTGGTTTTTCTGGTGACTAGCACCCATCCTGAAGCAATCTAGGGCCCCTAACCAAGAGTCCTTATTGGCATAAACTCAGGGATGATTGAAAGGGGTTTATTATGAATAACAAAAGAAGCTCCTTTGCTGAAGAAATTCTAAGGGTTTTAGGAGTTCTGTGCTAGGAACCAGGGACAAAGACCAAATAGATATAGATATACATGATATAGATATAGATATATTATAGATATAAGTCTTCCTTCTTTCCTTCCTTCCTTCCTTCCTTGCTCCCTTCCTTCCTATACCACAACCCTTATAGAAAGAAAAGGAAGTAAAGATCTAAGAGAAACATGATTTGGTTGGCTAATACATAAGGCTCACTAGTCCAGCATTCACTAGCTCTTTTAGGATCTGATGGCAAGGCTTTGTCCATCTTACTGTTTTATCTCCAGCATGTAGCAAGGCATTAGGTGCCCAATAAATTTAGTCTTGTTTTGTTTTCATTTAGGAAATTAGGACAGGGTCATAAACAATTAAAAAGTAACCATTGTTTCACTTAAATATATACTTCTCTTTTCAGGTCATAAGTTTGAAGCCTGAAATATGCAAAGACATGGTTTAAACCTGTGGGCTTCAATTTCCTTCTGTGTCATGTAAACAGGTCAGACAAAATGACTTCCCATGCTCCTTAGAGTCCTAGAAGCTGTAATAAGTGGACTGTGGCTCCTGACTCACCTTACGCCATCAGCTCCAGGGAAGGGAGACAAAATGGAGGTATCGTACCTCCACTTAAAAATCAAATGCTGGGGCTGGCCGAGTGGCACGTTGGTTGAGTTGGCTTGGGATGCCAGCTCTGAGCAGCAGGGCCCTGGTTCGGATCCCACATGAGGGCCAGTGATGCTGTGCCCTCTACAGCTAAGATGGTGAACAACACTCCACCTGGAGCTGGGCTGCCATGAGTCGCTGGTGATGGCATAGGCGGCAGTGAGGCTGGCCAGCAGCGGGCTGCCATAAGCTACCGTGAGCTGTGGGCAGCCAGTGTGAGCGGCCATCCAATGGCTGGCAAGGGACTGCCTCACCCAAGAAGAGCACAATGATCACAATACCAACATGGGCCAATGAAGCAACAACGTCCTCCACAACAAGACTGAAGAACAAAAGGACAGCAACTTGTCTGTTCTCCTTCCCTGATTCCCCAAAGCTGTTCCCTTCCCCCAATTCCCCAATAAAATCTTTGAAACAAAAATAATCAAATGCTGATTTTCCTATGGGATGAGTTAAGAATGTTTTGTCTCAATTCCCTTTCCCTGTTTAAATGTTCTTTGTAATATCACACTGTATTTGCAATGTTCCATGATAGTGGCAGCTAAGCATTTAAATGAGATTTTTGTTTTTAATGTTCTGGCTGACTGTTAGAACATAACACTGGTGGTTCTCAACCTTTTTTCTACCCAAACACCTGAGTACATACACACACACTCATCAGTAACTTTGACTCAGCTTAGGGGAGGGGGGCACGCTTGTGGAACATTCCCCCAGTGATTCTGTCACCCAACTTTATACCCCATGGAGAATCATTAGTATAAACTATTCAGCCACACCAACCAACTACTTATGTCACAAAACACATAGAATAAGGGGTTGCCAAGGGGCTATTACTTACCTGAAATGTTTTTTGTTGAACAGCAAGAATTAATGCAGTCTTTTTGAGTTAATGTATGTATGGGCTCATTGCCTCTGATTCCCTTAGAAAGGGATGACTGGATGTCAATGATGACATCTTCCAGGCTCTGGATGGGACAATCCTGACCGGTGGACAGTCTGACCGTCAGGAAACAAATGATTACAAAAGTATAGGTCAAGCTCCGTCCTTCCCTGAAGAACATTTTAAATTCCAGTGTAGTTTTAGTCTTCGAGATCAAGGATAACCCTCCCTCTGGTCTTAGTTTGCTTCCTTAGAAGATTGAACAGAAGATGGAATTTCTCTCTAGAAAACAGAACATCCTTAATGAGTTTTGCTTCTTTTAACAAATCTAGGGAAGATACATTTCATTTCCTTCAAGTCAATGTAAATTATTCACAATCTGTAGAAGGACAGAAATAAACAACTATTTTTTATTCATTTCACTTTTAATAGATTTGAGATCTTTTATTAAAAACTTGGCAAAGAACTAATGAGCACAGACATGTATACTACTTTATAAATGCTTAAAAGCTGACATGTGTCTATAAAGAAAGACAAACAGCAGGCCTACCTCTGAGTTCTAGACTCCTTCCGCTTCTTGCCTCTCCTAACCAGAAGGGACGAGGACACAAAATCTCTAGTCACTGATGAAACAGTGATAATAGGTTTGGGCATATTTCCTTTCTCAGTAGTAACAATTAGCATTTTTAAATCACCTACTGGGTGGTAGGCAATGTGCTAAGACATTTATATATATTATCCTATTTAATCCTTATACTAGCGCTGCATAAATCTATTATTTTCCTCATTTTATTTATGAGGAAACTGAGGCAGCCTTTCTTGTTGCTTCTTCTCTTTAAGTATCAAACCAGAAGCAAGTAACCCTAGTAATCTAATTCTAGGAATTAACCTGTCAACAAGGGAGACTACTCTTATGGCTCAGTGGAAGGAACGTTTATGGGCAAGTGTTCTTTTTGACACTGCTAAAAACACAAAAGTTACACTACATATATTGCCAACTCCATTGGTAAGCTGGTTCTTCTAGGAAAAATAAAAATAAATGTTAACCTGGGAAGTAGCCTGGTAAAGCTTAGGATCTCTTCCGAGAGACATGTTTTAAAATTCATAAAATAAAATATACAGGATTACAAGGGAAGCCAGTTATACTGAAATATAATTATCAAGGTAGTTTTTAAAACAAGCCTATAAAACGCTAATGAAAGAAATCAAAGAAGATCAAAATAAATGGAGAGATTTTCCACATTTATCAATACTGTTAAGATGTCAGTTCTTCCCAACTTGATCTGTGGATTCAATGCAATCCCAAGCAAAATCCCAGTAAGTTATTTTGTGGATTTCAACAAAGTGATTTTATAGTTTACATGGAAATGCAAAAAGTCCAAGAATAGTCAACACAATACTGAAGAAGAACAAAGCTGGAGGACTGACACTATGCAACTTCAATACTTACTATAAAGCTACAGCAATCAAGACAGTGCAGTATTGGCGAAAGAATGGACAACTAGATCAGTGGAATAGAACGGAGAGCCCAGAAATAGACCCACACAAATATAGGCAACTGATCTTTGACAAAGGAGCAAAGGCAATTCAATGGGGAAAGGATAGTCTTCTCAAAAATGGTGTGGAATAATTGGAGATCCACACGCAAAAAAATAAATCTAGACACAGACCTTCCTCTCTTCACAAAAATTAACTCAAGAAGGATTATTAAACTACATGTAAAATGCAAAACTATAAATGCATAGTATAACATAGAAGAGCATAACATAGAGTATAACATAAAAGAATATCTTTATGAACTTAGATTAGGCAATAAGTTTTTAGATACAACACCAATAGCATAATCCATGAAAGAAAAACATGACAGCTTAGATTTCATTAAAATTAAAAACTTCTCTGTGCAAGCACTGTCAAGAGAACAAAAAAGGCAAGCCATAGACTGGGAGAAAAGATGTGCAAAACACATATCTGATAAAGAACTGGTAGCCAAACTCTACAAAGAGCTCTTAATGCTTAACAGTGAGAAAACAACCCAATTAAAAATGGGCAAAACATCTGAAAGACACTTCACCAAAGAAGATATACAGATGACAAATAAGCACGTAAAAGGCACTCAACATTGTCATTAGGGAATTGCGAATTCAATCAACAAGACACCACCACTCACCTATTAGAACAGCTACAATCCAAAAAAAAAAAAAAAAACCAACAAAACGAAATCCTGACAAAAATCTGCATACAAATATTTATAGTAACTTTATTCATAATTGTCCAAACTGGAAGCAACCAAGATGTTCCTTAACAGATGAATGGATAAACAAAATATATCCATACAAAGGAATAACATTCGGCGATAAAAGAAATGAGCTATCAAGTCATAAAAAGACACAGAGAAACCTTAATTGCATATTGCCAAATGAAAGAAGATAGCCTGAAAGGTATTATTCTAACTATATGACATGCTGGAAAAGGTGGAACTACATTGACAGTAAAAAATCGGTGGAGCACAAAAGATTTTTTAGGGCAGTGAAATTTCTGTTTGATACTCTAATGGTCGGTACATGTCATTATTTTTGTCAAAACCCATAGAACTGAACAACACAAAGAGTGAACTCTAATGTAAACAGATAGACTTTAGTTAAAAACAACAAAATCGTTTAACTCCCCCCCAAGAAACAACCAGTAAATGGTAGTAAAGCACAAGTCTAATAGCTACCTTGTTAACTATTATGCCCAACTTTTGAAAAAATAAAATAACATTTCTATTTCTGCCATGCCAGCCTCTATACTAAGCACTTTACATATCTGTCATTTAATCCTTACAAGAATCCTAATGAGATAGATTCCATTATTATCTCCATTTTTAGTTAAAATAAAAGCTGTTATATGTCCTTATTAACCTATTAAACAAGTGATACATTTAATAACTGCCATAATTTTGAAGCAGTGTTGAATGTAAATGATATTTTGAGATATGTTCAATAGGTAATTTGATATGAAAATATCCGTGATTTAGGATGACTTTTGCCTACATGCCTCTTAAAGGAAATGCTACATTTCAGATAGAGATTAGTAAAATAATAAATTTTTCCACCGAAATTCACAGACTTTCTGAATACCATGGTCTCCCCATGGTATTAACAATCCTGGCACAAGTTACCTTTTTATGCTGCCACATTTTGCAAGTCTTTTTTCTGGCCTTAAATAAATCAAAACAGGAACAAAAGAGAAAAACCAGGCCAATACTTTACTTTGAATGGATTCTGACATAACCACTCCTGAAGCTCATGTAAAGAAACCTGAACTTGGCACCAAGATGGGATAGGAGCTATGTTTTCAGTAAGCAGCATCTTGATCGTGCCTGAACTGCAAGAAGTACTGGAGTATATCTCATTCAAGGCATTCAACAATTATTAGGTAAATTAATTCTTCTTCTAATCTATTATTATTTAGGCCTTAAAGGTGCAAAACCAAGCTGAATCCTGTTGAAAAAGGGAAAAGGGTACAGGTGGGAGGGAGAGGAAGCACCCGAGTTTTAATGCCTGCTGACCATACAGTCAAACGTATGTGTACTTAACTGTGTCAAATATTGGTAATCATTTCACGCACAGCATAATCTAACCTAATTTATCAAGATGTTTATAACCACACACACGTACCCTACAGAGTATTAGACAATTAGCAGGTTCAATAATGAATAGCGAAGACAAATCACGCAAGAAAAAAAATGGGAAATTTTCCCTTCCTTTGCGGAAATGTGTGTCGCTCACTAAACTATTCTTCTGCCTATCCTGATGACGACGCGAAGCCAGTGCCATTTATGACAGGTGCCTCTGGCCGGCCTGGAGAGCCCCTCTTGGGTACCGCAGTGCCAAAAGATCCAGGTCAGCCCTCCTTCGCCCCAGCCTGGTCCTTCGCGGGTTCCCGGGTGGGTAGAGGAGCCTGGACCCAGGTAAGGAGGGGCGCTGCTCTCTCTCTGCAGGCGGCGACGCTGCAGGCGGCAGGTGCGGAGAGGAGGGCGAGGACGCCTTTACCTGGCGGCGAGAGGACCCTGGGGCTCCTCGGGTCCACACCGTGCGAGGGCAGCTCCGATGCGCTTGCCGGGAAGCAGCGGCGACGCCCTGCGAGGGTCTTGGCGAGTCAGGCAGGGGATGCTCCGCAGCAACCACCGGGGCTGGCGGGGCTGTAGTTCGCAAGTTCCTGCTTCCGTTGCAGCCGCCCAAAGTTTGCTGGGGGGGAAGGGCACATTCCTGGCCTCCAACCCGGAGCTGCTTCCCAGCAACTGCGAGCGCGGTCCTCTGGGGACCCGCGAGAGACGCGAGCCCCTCGTCTCGATGGCTCCAGCGCCCAGCAGCGGCGCTGAGCCCAGGAAACAGCTCGCGTCCCCAGCCATCCCCGCCCCACTCACCCACGCGCGCACCGGAAGGCCAAGAGCATTGCGAGGGGTCTGTGGGCACGACCCTCTTGCCAGAGATTCTGCAGCTGTGCCTTCTCACTTCCAGGAGACGAGAGAACACGCAAATACGCAGGAAGAAAGTCAAACAGTACAAAACTCGATATATAGTGAAAAACCTGGTTCTCATCCCCTGCCCTAGCCATAGTTGCCCTCTCTAGAGGCAACCACTGAGCGCACCTTCTCCACGATCATGAGTTTATAGTGCATTCTACCTGGGGCATACTTATGAGAACCTATTTCGATAACTGGAGGCCTGGAGGGTCCTCAATTAGACTTGGCAATTCTTAGCTAAATATTATGTGCAAGTCAAGCCTCAGGGAAGACCCTTGGGATTCTGCAGGATTTATTGTTTACAGATATGGGCATGATAAAAACAGTGGCATCTGTTATAGTTATTAAAATTGTATCCCTAACATTTAGCATAGCACCTGGTACGTAATAGGTACCCAGCAAATATTTAACCAAAGTATGTCTGTGGGTTGAATGAATGGAAAAGAACTTATAAGGCATTGGTTGCAGAAGTGTGTTTCTAAATCAACCCTAGCTCCACCCCACCTCCATATATATTCAAACACATGCAGCATTACTGAACCACTGACACTTCACTTGCCAAGTAGTCTAACCTTTGACAATGTCTCCATCTTGGTCGGTATGAAAGAGCTTTCAGACCTAAAGCACTTACTGTATTTCCCCATGTATGACAGCCCTTTTTCAAAAAATTTGGGGTCTAAAAACTGGGTGTGTGTTATACAGTGGTTGTAGATCGTTGTCAAGTCATTTAAGAAGTGTGGCATTTCAAATGCCATAGATGGAACTGAGGACGAGGCAATATACGAAGACAGTGATTCGTCATCAGACACAGATGAGGACAAGCTAATGGTTGGGAGTTTTGACAGTGATGAGAAATTGTATGAATTTTATGATAAATAAAACTTGAGTTCAATAAATTTATGTAATACATTTTTTTTCAAATTTCGGGCCCCAAAATTAAGGTGTGTCTTATACATGGAAGCATCTTATACATGGGGAAATACGGTAGCTAGTTCTGGTACAGCCAACAGCTGTATCCAACAGTTTTAACCAATAGCTGCAGGAAGCATATGTTGACAAAGAATGCCCATGAACAATGGTCCATTGTGTGAAACTACGTAACTCTTACTAGCTGTATACAGAGGATGACCTACTCTTGCATTACAATAATATTTGGAACACTTGGTTTTAAAGAATTCTCAAAGTCAAGGAAATGCCACAGTGATTTCCCATTGGAAAGATTTTTCAGGTGCAATAAGGGACTGATGTACCAGTATATTTTATCTCTGCAGATGATATACTTGAGGGTCCAGAGTAGAGAGACATAACATCACCTGCAGAAAGAGACCCCTACAACCATTAACAGTCACTTCTCCACCCTCCTCTTCTTCAGCCTTAGGCAACCACGAATCTATTTCTGTCTCTATAGTGCATCTTCTGGACATTTCATGTAAATGGGATCTACAATATGTGGCCTTTTGTGGTGGACTTTTTTTTCATATTATATAATGTTTTCAAGGTTTATCCATGTTGTAGCATGTATTAGTATTTCATTCCTTCCCCCCACCCCCAACTCTATTGTATGGATAGAACACATTTTACTTATCCATTTATAAAAAAAAAAAAAATAGTGGCATAGGAATCCTCAGCCTCTGTCCCTCCACAAAGATTAACAATTAGACAGCTATCTATGAACAAAAACAGTTCTGGGAGAACTCTGGCATCCGCTTCAGAAACTTAAGCAACACAGTAGAACATAAAACCAGAGAATAACAGCACAAGAAGAGAAGAAAGACAGCCTCATTTTGTCTGCACCATTCTCCCCAACCCCACCCCCAAACCAGCACTGCTTAACGCCAAGAGGAAACTTCCCAACTAGAGAAAGTGTCCCTCGCTGGAAAAGGAAGAGCAAGGTGCGCGACCAGCCTTTCAGGACACACAGGTCCCACTTTGTTTCACTCACCCAGAATGGTAAATTTGAGACATATAGAGCTGGGTAGGAATAAGAAAGAAAAGCAGGGGCTACTAGTATCAGTCACGCAGCAGGAATGATTGCAGTTCCCAGTGACCTGCTCTGCAGACAAGCCCGGCAGCTTGCACCACTGAAGAAACCAATGGCCAGCACAGCGGCTGTAAATGCCCTGCAGGTTTCACCAGCTTTTACTCCACAGGCATCCCTGTTAGGGGATAACTGCTATCTGATTCCTTCCCTGCTCCCTCCCTTACTCCAATGCCCAAAACCACACTGGCAGCCAGTGAAGGCTTCTGTGGTCACATGACTGCAAGACACCAGCCTAGACCCCTGCAGTTGACCTCCACTGCTGTGCACACACTTGGGGTTAGCCCCTCCAGCACTGCACTTGCATGCTGCAGGCCTGAGGCCCATCACTGGCCTCCACTGTCGTGTGTACACCTGGGGGAGATTCAGCAGCCACAAGAAAGCACGCCTGCAGCTAGCCCCTCCAACTGTGCACCTGCATACCTCTGGAGAGACCCCTGTCATTGGCCTCCACTTTGCCCTTGGTGAGACCTAGCAGCCATGGTAGGGCCCACCAACAGCTAGAGATTCTGCAGCTGTCAGTGACCATGTAGTTGGTACTAACCCTCACTGCCTTCCCTGGCCTTCTCCACAATGTGTGTCTGCAACCAGCTCCCGCCTCTACATAGGCACCTACGGCTGGCCCTCTGCAGCCTAGTGTATGAATATACCACTGGCTCTGGCCACCACTACTGCCTGCCCTGGTCCCTGGCCATTGGACCTGGAGGTGCCACTAAAGGCTCCAACAGCCCTTTCAGCCACTGTAGATACCCTGCAGTGCTCACCAAAGACTATGGTTGTTGATTCTGTGGACTTCAGTGGCCTGAGACAGAAAGACATCATGCTCCCCTAGACTCTGTGCCATCACATGTTCCTGTATACTTGGTGCTCTGCGCCACTGGGGTCACAGCCTGCTCCATGTGCCTCTACCTGCAGGTGAAAATTTTCCCTTACTAAAGTCAGTCCATAAAGTCTGGAGGAGGTTACTGCTTATTCAAGTGTACAGACACCTACACAAGGCTACAGGGATCATGAAGAATCAGGGAAACATGTCTCCACCAAAGAAACACAGTAAACCTCTGGTAACCGGTCCCCCAAAAATGGAGACCCAGGAATTGCCTGACAAGGAATTCAAAATAAATGTTCCAAAGATGCTCAGAGAGCTACAAAGAGAACACTGATAAATAATTTAACAATATCAGGAAAACAATACAAGAATAAAATGAGAAGTTCAACAAAGAGATAGAAACCATAAAAAACAACTATATAATTTTGAAGCAGACGAATACAATGACTGAACTGAAGACTTCAACAGAGAGCTTCAATAGCAGACGACTAAGCTGAAAAATAATCGGTGAGCTAGAAGACAGAGCAGTTGGAATTACCCAATCAGAGGAGCAAAGAGAAAAAAGAATGAGAAGGAATGAAGAAAGCCTATGAGACATCATTAAGAGAAACAATATATTGGAGTTCCAGAAGGAGAAGAGAGGAAGAGGGGGAAGAAAGCTAATTTAAAGAAATAATGGCTGAGAACTTCCCAAAGTTCTGGGGAAAGATTTGGACATCCAAGTTCACAAAGCTAATAAGTCATCTCAAAATTTCAATCCAAAACATTTTTCTCCAAGACAAATTATAATAAAACTGTCTAAAATCAAAGGCAAAGAAAGAATTTTAAAAGCAGCAAGAAAAAAAATTCTCTCATCCAATTCTCTCAACCCCTATAAGGCTGTCAGTGGATTTCTCAGTAGAGACCTTGCAAACCACAGAGAACGTGATGATACATTTATCCATTTGTCAGTTGATGGAGAGAATATCCCTTTTAGAATCAATTGTTCATCCAAAGGGAAGCATGAAAAGCATCATCACATTAGCATGGGTTAGGGTTTGGGACACAGGATAAGTATACTTTGATGTGGAAAAGGGAGAACAAGAGCCAGAATATGAGTTATACTTCCTCCTTTTACCGCCTCTCTCACCCTGCCCCAAATGAGGGCAGATCTGGGAGAGAAGGGGAGGGCTGTCCTGTCCAGTAGAGCACATTCGCATTGCTTAGCGGGCCCTTCCCAGTCTCATCAACCTGGTGGTTTGTGTAAACTTAAAGACTATAGCCAACCACCACCTCCAAGGAGCTTGCTTTGATCTCTCTAGCACTTTTTAGTTCTATCTTCATTCTCCCACAGAATACTGAACTTGCATTCATTTGCACTTTTTTTCACTGAGTAAAGGAAAGAGCAGGAGCTTTTAAATCAGATGGTACTAAACCCTAGTTCCACCACTTAGTACCTAGTAAGGATGAGGAAGTTACCTGTTTGTGGGCATTAGGGTTATTGTGAAAATTAAATAAGGTAAACTAGGGGAAATGTCTGTGATATAGAATACAATGGGCTTAGTCATTTAGTGAATTGGGCACTCCTTCTGAGATTATGTTTACATATATAAAATCTCAGGGTATTTGTTTGAAATGTTGTGAAGCAAACAATATAAAATAAGTTGCACAGTTCTGAGAATCCCAGAGCCACCCAACTCCTTGATGGCATTGCACTGCTAGGTCCATGCCCTAGACCTGGCAGTTTCCATTTTGCACTAACTGTACTCCTTTCTCTTCTTTGCTACTTTCAGAATGGTGCCTTGCCGATAATTGTCAAGGTCCCCAGAAAGTGTCTGGACTATAGCAGCATCGGCTTTCCTTTGAAGATGCACACACACCCTAACACGTGAATCGGCATTTTCTCTTTCATTTTTGTCTCATTTCCAACTCCTTTCACCATCTAGTATTTTTTGTATGCTTGTCCACTGCCACACTCCCAGCTTTCCCACCTGAAACAGGAGCTTTGCATCCACAGTTGTGGATTCGGATCCTAAGTCTATCTAGCGCTTCCTATCTGTAAAACAAAGTTATAAACACTTATTTTGTAAAGTTCTAAAGATAGAGATAAAGTATGTACCATGTGGATGGTGGTGCTTAAAGGTGACGCTTGGTTACAAGAGGAAAGGGCCTACCCTGGGGGGTGGGGAGGGGTGGGGGGTGGGGGTCTAGTTTTCAGGCGCTCGGGCCCTTTAAGGGGGCGTCGTCCTACAGCCAACAGCTGTATCCAACAGTTTTAACCAATAGCTGCAGGAAGCATATGTTGACAAAGAATGCCCATGAACAATGGTCCATTGTGTGAAACTACGTAACTCTTACTAGCTGTATACAGAGGATGACCTACTCNGCCGCTTGCAGCCGGCGCCACCAATCCGCATCCCGGAAGGAGCCAGCCTGCGGCGCATGAGCGAGTGAGTGAAAGCGGCGCCGCCCGCCGATCGCAGGCGCGGCTAATGCCGGGCGTTCCCCGCCTCCTCTCCTTGGGTTTCCCCTAAAGAAGCCTGGCGACTAGCGCGCAGCGGTGCTGTTCCCCAAATAGAGTTTCCCCATCCCCCACCGCCTGTGTTCCCTACCTGGGCTGGGCGCACCATCCGCACCTAGCGGCCCCCCTGCGGCGCCCAGACTCGGTGTAGCATCCTCGTCCCGGTCCCTGTCCCTGCCCTGTCGCCCCACCGCCGGATCGGTGACCGCCTGTCCCGCAGTTCCTCCGCTGCCACCGCTGCCGGCACCATGGGCAGTGAGCAGAGCTCCGAGGCCGAGAGCCGACCCAACGATCTGAACTCCTCAGGTCGGTGCCCTAACTTCCAACCTCCTCCAGCCAGCCTTGTCTGCTTGTGGAGCGGGCAGGCATGCCTCCCAGCCTAGTGGGATCTGGGACCGGCGGACAGGAGCGCACATTAAGCCCTCACCATGCTTTGTTCTTAAAAGAAAAAAAAAAAAGTAACCATCTGTCCTAACCTTAATTCCCCTGATGGAAGTGAGTGCCTGTGACTGCAAGCTAAGCCAGCGTGGGTGCCCATGCCCATTCTTTTCAAAAGCATTTTGTTTTCCCCAACTACCGCCTATTTAAAAGATGACCTAATTAATTATTGGCTTTAGCATTCATGACTGACATAGTGAGATTTAGCTCACAGTGGATGGATCATAGATAGGCAGGACCTCTAAGAACAGGCTCCTTCTTAAAAACGGGTCTTAGGGGTTCCTTTTCAAGAGGGGATGTGTGACAGGTGTACAATCTGTTTTAACCCTTGGGTGCATTAGGTAAATTGCCAATAGAGGTTAAGAGACGTTTCTCGAAGAGCAATAAAAGTAGCAGAGATTCTAGAAGAGTGAATGCCATGCCATAGGAGACTCTAGCCTCTAGGAGGCAGGGCAGTTCTGTAGCGTCTTTGGATCAACCTTTAAGACTTAGCTGATGAGCCTGCAAATACTACCTTCTAGAGTGTAAAAACATTTTAAAAGTTCATTCTTGCCCCCAACCAGGAAGATATTTGGGGAGAGGAGGATGTCTGGGGCTAGGGAGCCCTTGAAGCACTTTCCTCCAAATGGATTACATTTTTCTAAGAGACCTGAAATTGACCTGCCTCACTAACAATCCTCCAAATTTCTGAATTTTGCCTCAGCCTAGAAGGACCTACTGATTATTTCTGATCTTTTGGACTAATGCCTGTAACTTTATGAGTGAAAGGGATGGTGCTTCATGAATAGACCCATCATCTAGGGTTGAGTATCAGGGTTTTTCCCCCCATGAGTAGGATCAATTAAACATACTTGGCTTGCTGGGCTTGCTGGGATGGGTGTCTAGACAGTTTTGCAACCGCACTGTCACAATAGTGGGCCGTGTATACCAACAACTCATATACCTCCAATTTCTTTCCTAACTCTGTTCTTAGCACTGTTGACTTTGGGCAAGTCACAGCCAAATTTTGTATCCTTATTTAATTATTGGTAAAATAGGGACAAACATCAGGAAGATCTAAGAAGTAAAAATTTAAAACACAGTCTGCCTATTCTTTTGTGTGCTGAATCTCAAAATATCTTTTATTACAAAAACAGTTTCATATATATGTTCCTGTAATGTTTCAGTATTTTAAAATACTATAGAAAATAGAGATCTTCTACATTTCATTTCCCTTACCCAAGCCCCCACTGCAGGATAAACCCGGTTACATTTTTTGTGTAAAAAAATGACTTGTTAATGACTACAGTGAAAACAGTTTTGGTGAGACAGGCGGCTGACTAACGTGAAACTCCTGAGCGGTGTAAATCTTTTTTCAGTGACTCCTTCTCCAGCTAAGCATAGAGCCAAGATGGATGACATCGTGGTTGTAGCTCAGGGCTCTCAGGCCTCACGAAACGTCAGCAACGATCCCGATGTCATCAAGTTGCAAGAGATTCCAACCTTCCAACCACTTTTGAAAGGTAAGGGCTTACGTTGTGACTTATCTGGACTTGCTGGAAAGGTTTGCATAGTCCCACTGCTGTCCCCAGATATCCATGTGTCTTACTTATCTCCTTTAGGTCTTTACTTAAATGGCATCTTCTTTGTGAAGCCTTCCTTGACTGCCCTATTTAGAATTGCAAGCCTTTTCCCTGTCTGTTTTTGTCTGTAGCACTTAATTGTGATTGACCTACTGCATAGTTTAGTGGGTTACTGTCTGTATTTTTTTGCTAGAATGTGTGCTCCATGATAGCAGGAACTTTCTTCATTTTGTTCACTGTTGACTCCTCAGCACTTGAAATAGAGCCTGGTATAAAGTAGGGACTGAATAAATGAATGAGTGAATGAATGAATGATGTGGGAGTTGGCCCTCATATGATATATTTCCACAAAAAGATTTTCATTCTTATTTGTAGTCTGGACTATGGGTTGACTAGTTCAGATCTACAGAGGAAATCTCCATGACCACTGATAAACACTTGTAATTAATCTTGGCAACTGTTTTGCATGAGACTAGAGTGTGTGTATCGAGGGGAGTGAGTATGTACAAACCATCAGCCCTCTGATTAGTGTTTATTGAAGTAGTTACCTTTTAATAGGACTTTTATTCATTTAATAATTTTGTTACATTTTTTCATTTTATATTAGTAAGTACATATATTTGTTTTACTATTTTTATGTTTCCATTAAATAGTGGTGATTATTTTCTGTTAGTGGAATGGGGAGAATTTCTTTTACTGTCTCCCTCTTCCTCCAAAAGGTTAGGATATATAAATGAACATAAGGTCCTAGTGCATTAACCTGGTACAACATACAGTAATATAAAACATCTTACACTTATACAGCTATTTTAAAACCCCCCTAAACATATATCATTCCTTTAATTCTTATATCTTTAATTATGTTTGAATCATTTGTGCCAGATCTGACAGCTGGCTGGTAGAGAGGTTGAACCTGAACCTTCAGCACTGATGTCAAATTCTGTACTAGTTACACTATTCCACACTGTACTTAAAAAACAAAAATATAAAAACAGTCTGGGCTTTCTAGATGATCCATGTATCATCTCATTCTTCCTAGCACTTCATCTGTTTTACAGATGAGGAAGTGCAAGCTTTCAGTCTGTTCCCCACAGTCCTCAGGGTTAGACTTTGGGAAACTCTTCTGGTTCTTGCATAAAACAACATATTACATTCTGTTACCCATCTTTTTATTAGTTTTTATGATTTTGAGGATTCTCCAAAGAAGCCAACATTAATGAAATTTCCATCTCCACATATCCTCGTGCAATCAGATTAAGAGACACAGCCTTTATCTTTAGAAACTTAGAGGTGGCCCTGAGATTCTATACTCCATCCCTTCTGGAATTGGATGTAGCACTGCCGACAGTCACAATTTCCACGGCTCTATTTCCTGCTAACTACCTCCTTTCTCCTCCTAAAGTCTTCCAGTCCTGGGTGAGGTCTTATGTGACCAGTTTTTGTCCCCACTTTAGGGAAATACTAAAAACAAAACAAACACTCCCCCCACCCCAGAACTTTGAGATATATTTAATAATTTTCTGGGATTAGTGCTTTTCTAAGCATTTGAAATAATTCATATTTTATGATAATAAATTGACGAGTAGGGGAAGCATCTAGGAAAAGACTTGGTATTAAGGGAAGCTAAGCTCAGATTTCAAATCATCACTGGGAACTGTAAAAGGGAATAATTAATGTGGTCCAGTTAATACAGTGCAGCTGGACTTGGTTGCATTGACACCTCGGTTTTCACTGGGACTTGGCCACCAACTAGCTATGCTAGTCTGGCTTTGTTTTTCACCTCTTTGAACCTTGGTTGTTGAGAGTAGGTGCAGGAGAGAGGGAAACTGGAGAGTAGCAGGTTGCAATTAAGAGGTGTCTAGGATTTGGAAAGTAGAGAAATCACTTGATAAGAGTGGCATGGAAATAGAAATGGCCGCATGTGGCAATGGCCAGACTGCAGAAAACAAACAAACAAAAAAACAGTGAGCATGTAAGTTGATGCTCACGTTTCACTTGTAAAGTAGAAAGGTCTTGGACAGTGATTAGAAAAGATAGGCAAAGGGGACAATTGGGTGGAAATAATAATTATGATAATTAAAGTAGCTAATCCCTTCCCATCCCTCTGCATGATAGCTATTCTTTCTGTTTTATAGATTAAAACATTTGTGCTCAGAGCTTAAATTCATTGCCTAAGTGGCTATAACTGATAGCCCATCATGAGATGGCATCGGGACATCGAGTATTTAACGATTTTGTACGTAGAATAAAACTCAGTTCCCAATTCTAGCAAAGCCCATTATCCAAGTCACTAGACTGGGCTGCAGTAGGAAAGAGTGATGTGTGAGGTTGGAGTTTTAGGTGCAGCATTTGTTGCAGTGCCTCCCGCTTGGACATTGTTCTGCCTGGTAATTTAAAGCCCTGCCGGCTGCCTGCTGGGCGGCTGGCTGCAGGGGCTACTCGTCACTGTTGCCTTTATACTCTGATCTCTTTTCCCCCCTTTCCTGCTTTCAGGATGAGGCTATTTCTCAAAGTAGTAAAAGGGCCACACAGTGAGGGCTCTACCCACCAGGTTTGATTTCAGAAAGCTTTTATTCAAGTTAATGACAGTTTATTCTTTCCAAACAATATATTCAAGTATTACACAGAGTTCACTATTGTTCCGTAATGTCATATGATGTAATGCTCATGCTGGTGGGTGATCTGCAGAGGCAGTGGCTGGGCGAGTCTGAGGCTATTCGTATGACTGAGGTAATGTTTGCATTTTTAATAAGCAAGCAGATTCTTTCTTTGGTCTTAACTCTTTTGGATAAATATACCAGAGTATAATTTATGCTCCATACTAAGGCCAAGTATCTGTTCCTCTTTTTTTTTTTTCTTTAAAGTCAAAAGAATTTCTGTTTTTCACAGCAGTCTCTGAATTAGCAGTTTGTTTTGAAATGTAAAGCATTTAATAGAAAATTAAATTTAAAAGATTAGACAGCAGCACTAAATGGCCATGACAGAACACAAAGTCAAAATGTAGATTTGATACAAATTTGTTAGATTCCTAGGGGTTAAACAAGCTCTATAGATTTCTTACTTAAAACTTAACCACTCATATTTTTTAACAAATCCCATTATTTTATGTCATTCTATAGCAATGAAATATTCATAAGATACATGAAATATTGATGTTATATATGTAAGTTATAAAAATAATTATTCTATTTTCTCCTGGTGGTGAATATGTGCATACACACGCATGCATGCACGGCGCACATAGGGCATTCTTGGCAACTGACCTGTCATTTTTGCTACTGACCTTTGATACAACTTAAGATTGTCTTGCTGCCTAAGGAAAGGATTGTCCTTGTTACCAACAAGGAAGGTCAAATAGTATAGATGCTTCACTGATACTAAGTAAGCAGCTTTGTTGGGAGTTCTGTGTTTGGGTATAACGAACATGATGTATGTGAAGTAGATTTTGACAATTATAAAGAGCTAGGGGCTTTTCTTAGTGGAGCCAGATCTCATGGAACAGCAGTGAAGGCTCTCGAATCACATGGAACATTAAGAATTGGTGCTTGAGGTTGAAGCTAGGGAAGAATGACTCGATGGAAATGGGTGATAAGGAGAACACGAGGGAGCTAGATTCCCAGTGACCAATTACTTCACATCTTTCTCACCCACTCATCGATTAGCCAGACAAATAAAATAGAGGTAGAAAGTCTTTGCATTTGTCAGACACCTGTTTCTTCCAGGTGTCAGGCTTTATGTCTCTCTGCTTTGGAAAATGGAGTGCCGAAGGAGGGGGTGAGAAAACGGATCTTAATCAGAGCAGTGTTCTCTGAATGTCTCAAAGATCACCTCTAAGTCCAGGATTGATCCTAAGAGGGTATTTTCTCCCCAGACACCTAATTTGAAAAGTTGATAATTTATTCCTGATTGTCTTGTAGGTTTATTTGTATGTGTAATAGCTGTTCAGTTAACCTTTTAAACATGGCTGTTAACCAGCAAGGGAGCCTTACTCAGAAGAGTGGGAAGCCCCATCCAAATGGACCCTTTAAACCAATTGAGAAGATGAAGCCATTTTGCGAGAGCAGCCTCACTTTTTTCCTCACCCCCCCGTAAATCTCTGTGCCTGCATCCACTCTTATTTCTTTGCATTAAATCTTAGAGAAGGTGTCTATGCCTTTTTCTGAAGCTTAATGCTTCTCCATTTAACTTTTTCCCTGCATTTGCCGGGACTTGGCTTCTGTCCTTTCCTTGTCTCGAGCTCCTGGCTTAATGAACCTCTTTCCTCTTGTTCAGATGTATAGATTTTTTTCCATCTTTTAAATGGAAAAGACAAAATTACCTTCTTTGACTCCAGTGCCTCTTCTGGCTACCATGCTTTCTCTTTTTCTCTCTGCTGCCAAATTTCCTGACTACATGGTCACTACATGCTGTTCCTGCGTTCTTTCTATGCCTTCCATTTTTGAAGTTCTGTGGTCAGGTTCTCACCTCATTTCATCAACATTTGCTTCTTTGGAGGGTTACTAGTGGTCTTCCTTCATGCCTAAAGTTTTTCTCAGTCCACATCCCCCTCTTCTTTTTTCTTTAACATAGGTTTCCACTTTCTCTGCTTATCATGCTTATGTTTTCCTCTACTTTTTGAAAGAGTGTATTTATAACTTTCTTGTCGGCTGGTCCATCATTTCTGGATCTGTTTTTTTTTTTTATTGAGTGAACTTTCTCCTTGCTATAAGTCATATTTTCCTGCTTCTTTGCATGCTTGGAGTTTTTTTACTGTATGCCAAACACTGTATATTTTATATTTTTGGGTGCTGGATTTTGTTTTATTCTTTTGAAGGATATTGGACTTTGTTCTGCTCTAGGTTAAGTTATCATTTTGACCCTTTCTGGGCTTGCTTTTAAGTTTTGTTAGCGCTCATCCTGGCAGCCTTTAGTCTAGTTTATAATAATTAGGTCTCGCAGCT